GGCAGCCTTAGCCTCAAACTTGGCGCGCATAGCGTTGGCCACCCGTACGACACCCGCCGTATCGATACGCCGGTCGGGGTTAGTCTGGAGGCAATCGCCCACTAATGTCCGCAACTCGCGTGAGTAGGTGTCCGACGGGATGGGAGGGTAGGTCGAGGTCTCAATCTTTTTGCACAACGAATACAAATTCATTTTCTCGCCATAAAAGGGCGACTGGAGGGCCGCCAACTCGTACAGTAGGCATCCCAGCGACCAGATGTCCGACTTGAAGTCGTAGGCCGACTCGTTGATACGCTCCGGTGACATGTAATAGGGGGTCCCCACCAGCGAGTGGGCGTCTGTGGTACGGGAGCTGAAGAATCGACCCAACCCGAGGTCACCCAACTTGACTACGGCCTGGCAGTTGGTGTGTATATGTATGGGTGAGTTGGTGGACATGTAGTTTGGATTAGTTTTGTATTTATTTGATATTTGTATAATTAGTTTATGAATTGAGTGTTTGGTTAGAAATGTTGACAAAATTGACAAAACATACGAAACTGGTGTCAAACTATTGGGTCAACTGTCGTGAACTTAATTTGCATTTTGTTTGTGAACTAAAAATAAGAAAAACTTTAATCTCTTATCAGATTTAATTCAAAACTCAAATACAGTTCACAAGTTCATGACAGTTGACCCAATAGTTTGACATCAGTTTCGTATGTTTTGACAATTATTTCCTAAATTTATTATTTATTACAAAAAAATATAGACATTACTAAACCCTTTCCCTATAAACTCGGACTACCCGTCCACCATCACATACCTGGGAAGTCATAAAAACATTAGCCGGCTTTATATCCCGGTGCATCACCCGTTTGCCGTGCATGTGCTCCAACGCCACGCATACCTGCGCGAAGTACTTCCAGATAGTGGGCTCCGGTATGAGTCTACCCTCGCGTCTGAAATAATGAATGAGCCTGGACAGGTCACCGGCATCCGCCAACTCCAACACTATATACAAGTCGTTATTCTCGATGAACGAGCACAGGTACTTGATCACATTGGGGTGATCCAGCTGTTGTAGCAGGTTAATCTCCTTGATGCAATCATACCGGGCCTTCGCGTCCAACATCTCGAAGATTTGCATCTTTTTCAGCGCTACGATCGCACCGGTAGGTCGGTATCGGGCTTTGTATACGACCGAGAACTGGCCCTTTCCTATGCGCTTCTCTATGTCAAAGTTCTCGAGTCGTCCGTCGATGCCGTTCCCCACGTTCGCGGTTAACATACCGTTCCCCTCCTCGGACATGGCGTATGGTTTTTAGGGCAATATATTTATGAGTCAATTATGAATAGTTTATTGAATTTTACGAGATTTTAGTTGCGTTTCAATTGTGTTGAGAGACGTCTAAAACAGACATTTAATAAATACAAACACTCATAGATAGGGCACTAGGATGTAGGGGACAGGTAGTCTATTTATTAATCGCTTATAATTGTTATAAAAATAATTATAAAACTAAGTTGCCAAAGTTGTAAAGCACTTTTAGCGATATATAATTTTTTTGATAATTATTCACATTAGGGCTACTGTTCCCCATTACCAACACTGACTGTCCACCTCCCAACCCTCACATTAGGTATAACTACTACCCATCCATTCACTGTAAATACGACACAAGTTTTTTATGCCTTTATCTCAAACCCTTATCACACAATAGGTATTAATGAATAGGAAATGTGATAATCAATTGATTTGTCAGTGTTTGGCTAATATCCATAACTGGCTTATTAGTTGACTAGAAGTACTGTACTGTACCGTATATTTATGTACTTGATGTTTCAATTATGTAGTCATGAACTCGGATTATCCGTTTTATCCTCACATTAATTCAGATTTTATTGAATTGTTTTTAAACTTTATTTTATTAATTGTGAGATTTTTTCATTTATTTTACAAATATGTAGTGAGAATTGAATAGCGATTCAATTTTACAAGTTTTTAGACATTAAATAATTTGTTATTATACCTTTGTACATTAAACCTTTTTATTTATATTTAATTGTTAATTAAATCAATATGTATTTAATCAGTATCATTTATTGAATATAGATTTATTTCTAAATATACAAATTTATCAATCAAGTATTTTATCATATTAAATATAGCCTAAATATTTCAATAAACAAATATTTTATTTAATTTGGAAATTAATTTATAAATACATTTGTCAATAAGTCTCATTCACACATTAGCAATATTTCCTATAAACACCACGTTCAAATTTCAATTTATCAAACAACTGTCATATTTACCGTATTAATGGACACAAAACACACGGAATAATTGATACCCAGAAGAATATCTTAATGTAAATATAAGTCACAAGAGTTTTGATAAAATGAAATCTTAAACTAAATTGTGATTAGATTTGATACCAAAAAGTGTTTATTTTATTCAAAGTGTATGTGATATTAGGGGAAAAGTTTCCGAAAATGTTTTATTGATCTCTAATTAATAACTATTTATTAAATTGTTCAAAAGGGCTGTTAGTTTTGGAAAGTATAGTGCACTGGGATCTCATTTTATAATTTATAAATTAGTTATTTATTAATAAAATAGTATTATAAATACTCGTTATAATGAATGAACTAAAAATGTTTATAAATTTATGAATGCGTTTATCAAATGTATAAACAATTGCATTTTGACTAAACTGATAAAATAACTTAATATAAAGTACTGTAATATTTATATTATGCAAGTTATATATATAATCAAGGACATCCTATACAGAATATTAAATAGTGAATCAATAAAATGATTACAATTAAATATTGGATTAATAAAAACAAAATTAATTATAAATTACTGGGTATATTTCATTACAATTACTGCATAACCTAGGCCTGGTATCTATTTAATTTATTTGTTAAATTCATATTTAAATGCTTTATATGTACAGTACTTTTACACTGAATTGTAAATTCTTGATGGTATTTTAATTTTTAAAATTTAGTTAAGATCTGTCATTTCCCTGATGCTATCAAAAAGGCTAATAATATAGCGATCGCATAGTAACTAACTATACAAATGTGTAATCAATGATTAACTAATCATATAAAGGAAGTGAAAATTAATTTTTTAAATAACTGATAAACTGAACGCGATATTAATATATTTTATTAGAGAGAGAGAGAGAGAGAGAGAGAGAGAGAGAGAGAGACTTATTTAATTAATCCTAATATCACTATTAAAAAGTGACTATAAATAAGAAACTGATTGACAAACCAAACACATAATTGTCAACTAAACCACAGAATATATACAGTGTTTGCGAACCATAAGGTATTTCAAAATCATAGCAAATAATGATATAAAAAAATATTTGTACCAAAAGAGTGGTTCAAAGAGATACTATCACTGAATAAACAGATCCCAGAAGTGAGTGGTGGCGCTCTCACAGACATACATCTCTCTTTCTTTCTTTCTCTCTCTCTCTCTCTCTCTCTCTCTCTCTCTGCTATCATATGTTATGTTTAAAAATCACGAGTGTTTTGAGGGACGCGACCGTTGAGGACAGGGATAGGAATACAGTTGAGTGAGAAGGAGGGGAAAGGGAGGAAAGGCTGTTATTGTTATGATAGCACAGACTGACTGTTACCACACAAAGAGACAGTCAACTCATCGCTAAATCATAAGTCATTTGAATAAAATTAGTCGTTAAGTGAAACTCATCACACATTTTGCTACACTTTGGTAAGCATTTCAATGCCTATTAACTGTTCTTGTTAATTTTAATTTTAATTTAATTGATTATTATTATAATATTCATATTTAATTCGCATTTATTTATTGAAAACCATTTAACAAAACCTGTTTTCTGGTTCATTGTTTGCAATATTAAGCAAATGTAGTACAGTAGTCACAATATAACCCTGCTTATATTAATAGATTTAATAATAGTTAACCAAAATATTTAATATATTTTATAAATAGTAGTTTGTCTGACAAATAATTATTTTGCATGATAAATATTTCACTATTTACTGTATGATATATGCTAGCATAAACATAACCAAGGGTGTATTTAGAAAATTATTTTACACTGATGACTCCCCATATGATTAGTTGACAACAAAGGGTTTATAATTAGCATAAGATTTAGTGAACTCAACGGTTAAATATAGCACTTATGTAATAGTCAGGGACAATTTTTCCCTATTAAATGCTATGGGGGAGTCATCCTATGCCAATGGGACTGGTATTTCATCACTTGATTACCAGTACATTGAAAACCAATTGGAAAAGTAAGTCATCACTGGTTTGTTTGGATAGAGAGAGAAGTCTTATGATTTTGGTTTGACTTTGTTATCACAGCCAGCAATACAAGTCAAACACACATTCATAGGATATATCGTAATATGCTATCTATTTATCGTATCATTTGATGCCGAGATTTGCAAAAAACTTGTTTTTGAATTCATTTATTCTCGCATTTTCTCGTATCGTATTCACTGTCTGTTTATAAAATTATAATCAATATATGAGTTTTCAATTGATTTTCATATGAATATTGCAATCTCTACTACCAGTGCAATCGCAATTGATTTGCGATAAATAAGTGCTATTTAATAGATATTTTTCACAATACTAACCATTCATATATTGAGTTTTGTTTGCAATTTAATAATTAGTGAAAAATAAAAGATTGTTACAAATATATATAATTTTCAGTGAGTATTTAACTTAATTAAATATATTTATTAAATTTAGCTATATTTCATATGTTATACTAAATAACAAATTTTCATTACCTTTATTATAAATGTTTAAAACAAATATTGATTTTATGTGGGTACAAAAAATAGTATAATATATAAAAATCCGTATTCTCATACCTTTTATTGTTAATCCATTTGTTGGGAAAATAATTATTTATAATTTTAATTTAGAAATTATTAAATAGTCTAATATACCGTTAACAGTTTATATAATACAATTTAACATCAATATAATAGTGATATATTAATATTTGTATTATTATTATCGTAACTATTAATACGAGTAATAATGTATTGATTATTATTATTAACTTTTATTTTGATATAAACAGTGATTGCGTTAAACATTATGCTCTAAAATGTCTCTTAATTATAGTCTCTTTTTATATTAATTTAATGTTTTTAATTGTATAATAGAAATGTCAAAAACATTAGACAATTGTTTTAACATCATAGTAACATAATATTTTAAAAATATTTTTAGCACTAAAACTAATACATTACTACGAAACATGCAGTTTACACCCGTTTATATGTACTCACTATGGTTATGATAGCAAATAAGTTTAGCTTGGTATCAATCGATAGTATTAATTATTTATAAATTGATTTGGTATTTATAATTATGTTTATATTTATTTAATTATACTAAATTTAATTATCAATATTGTGCTCATTATAAACGATATGTCTATGAGTATTGCGTACAGCGATTGCTCACGATTTCTCTCTGTCTGTCTGTCTCTCTCTCTCTCTCTCTCTCTCTCTCCTCTACTATAGTATTCATTAAATATTTGATAGTTAATTAGTTTTAACTTATATACATGTATAGTTTGTTTTATCTCAAAAACCATTGCTGTATTTGAATATAACTTCAAACATGACGTGAATATAAAAATCGATACTTTTTAAATATGAGGTTGACTTTAAAAAACAAAAATAAATTACCATACTAGTTGGCTATAATAGTGTTCTTACAGTTAAGCATGAAAAATATCCAGGTCCAATAATCACTGAAATATGACAATAAAATTAATTAGCATTTATGATAAATCAATAGAAAAGTGATACTGGTACAAATTGACTAAAATTTCAATTAATTTTATTCTACAATAGACTTAACCAAAAGTGACCAAACATGAATTGCCTATGTCTGGCACTGGCACTATGTACGGCACTGGTAGCCGGAACTCAGAGCACATCCGTGACCTACAAAGATGTTGTGGCCGAGGAATGGGAGACATTTAAGGCCCGCCATAGCAAGCAATACACTGACAAGTCTGAGGAGAACTTTAGGCTCAAGGTATTCATGGAGAATAAGCAACGGATCGCCAAACATAATAAACGGGCCGCCAATGGACTCCATGGGTTCACTCTGGCTATGAACGAGTTCGGAGACCTACTGTCCCACGAGTTCGTGTCAGTTATGAATGGCTTCAAGAGGTCATACAAACTGGACTCTTATAACGGCTCCACATACCTGTCCCCTAACAACG